TGAAAATCCTAAACAAATGCTAAAAATCATAGAATCAAAACATTCTGGTGTCTGAGCCAGAGTGTCATCGAATTGCGATGTAATGTAAACAGAAATTATAGCAAGCTGATGTCAGTCAGCTTAGATGGTCCAAGCCAAAATTATATCGCATTTGAAGTTTCAAACTGTGTTAAAAATAATGGAAGAAAAGCCGTAATTATACTTATTGTTACAATCCATTTATTAAAATGCAACATTTTTTTGTTTTAATGAAAAAATCAGTTATTTTCATGAGAACGATTTGTTATTCTATCTCAATTTTTTTAATCTCCAATCGCAATAACGTAAAGTATTATTACCCGCGAACCAATGAGTCAAATTTAAGAAACAACCCACTGTTAGAAAGCTGAATGGCTACGCTTTAAAATGAATGTAAACTTTAACGTTTTCGTCTATTATTTGTTTAGCAATTTACATTTCAGTCGAGGATTGCGCTTTTTTGATACACCATATATATATATATATATATATATATATATATATATATATATATATATATATATATATATATATATATATATATATATATATATATATATATATATATATATATACATATATATAAAAAAGAAAAATACTAGGGAGAAAAGATCGCAGGGGCCCTTAGTCGGGCGAGAAAAGTAGTTGAAGCGTGCTTCCTGCTTTTCATGCTTATGGTTTGGAGCTTCTAGCCATTTATTTAAGTGACATTTAAATTAAGCCAATGCGAAGGGGTCCAAAACGGCCTTACAAGCAAGGGGCCCAACCGGGCATTTGCCCGGTGAGCCCGACCGGCCAGTCCGTCCCTGGCTGAAAAATGTGTAGCAAAAATGTGTAGCAAAATGTGTAGCTGTCTTTTCGCATAGCATTTTCGAATAGCATTGTTTACACACAGTTGGCGATTTTTTAGGGAATCAAAGGATCCCGGATATCCTTTGTTTTAATTGAATTTTAATTTAATTTAATTTCTAATACATGTCGATTGTCAATTATAACAAAAGTCAATAGAATGTAATTGGGAAGCCAACAACAGAATTCATGATTCCTTTACCATTGGCACCCACTAAAAAACTAATTTAACTAACTATCAAATAAGTAATATTAGTCGATAATAATAACTAAGTCTAAGGATTCCAGTCAATGTGAAAACTATCATAATATAGTTTAAACAGTTCCCTCCTGAACGATGGAAGAGATTCTAAGGAGCGAACTGTATATGGCAAAGAATTCCATAATCTTGTAATTCTAACAAAATATGAATGTTTAAAAACATCAGTATGGGAACAGCCAACTTGAGATCATCGGTAGTTTGTAGGCACCGACCAGTAACAGACCACGCAAATAAATCCGAAGATATTTGTACTTGACCATGTATTGCTTTAAAGCAAAACACCAAATCTGCTACCTCTCTACGCATACATAGTGGCAATAAATGAAGTTTTATTAACCTGTCCTTGTATTCAATGTTATTACTGAGAATAATACGCGAAGCTCGTCGCTGAACTTGTTCAAGTTTGGTAATGTTGCGTTTCTTGTACGGTGACCATACTTGGCTGGCATATTCCATTGTTGATCTAACCCACGTTATGTATAGTAAACGTTTCACACAAGGGTCATCCATTTCTCTTGTTGAACGGTATAGAAGTCCCAACATTTTTTGTGCTTTGGCAGCAATGTTATCATCGTGGTCGTTCCAACCAAGATTACTGTGTAGCCAAACTCCTAGATCTTTTTCGGATTATACGATGTTAAGAGATTCGCCCCCTGTAGTGTACTCTCGATCGAAAACAGTATGAGTACAGGCACTCTCAAAATTTTACATTTGCTTATATTAAAGTTCATTCCCCAAGTAATGGACCAGTCATATAGAGCATCAAGATCTGCTTGTAGTTTATTCTGGTCTGCACTCCCAAAAATAAATCGGAAGCATTTGGAATCATCGGCAAAAGGGGGTAAGTATGTTCCATCATTAATAACATCTGGCATATCGTTTATATATATTACAAAAAGGAGCGGTCCCAAGACCGATCCCTGGGGCACTCCTGATGTCATTGGAAGCCACTCTGAAGTATGACCATCAAGGACAACACGGTGACGTCTGTATGAAAGGTAACTGCGGAACCATGACAGTAATGGATCCCGAATCCCAATAGCATGGAGCTTGTGGAGAAGTTTATCATGTGGTACTCTATCAAACGCCTTCGAAAAATCCAAATAAACTAAGTCAACCTGTTTCTTTTTGTCAAGGGCGCTAGAAAGTAAATGAACTACTTGAAGTAGCTGGGTAACGGTGGAACGGCCAGGAAAGAAGCCATGTTGCCAAGGGGTTAGCTTTGGTGAAACAAAGTCAAACAATCTACCAAAAACACCTTTCTCAAGGACTTTTGACAGTTGATCGAGCAACGAAATTCCTCTATAGTTAGAGACAATTGACTTTCGTTCAGCCTTATGTATCGGGACAAGATTAGCATCTTTCCACTGATTTGGAAAAACACCAGTACTAAGTGACTTGTTGAATAAAGTAGTTACAGGTACAGTAATTTCTTCAGAGCATTCTTTAAGAAGCCGTGAAGGGATACCAAAGCTAGCCTTGTTTACGTCAAGATACCGAAGAGCTTTGTTGACGAAATCCCTCTCAATGACAATATCAGATAATACACCATGTGTGGTATAGCTCAGAGTAGGCAGAGGTACAACAAATTCACCAGCAACTGGGGTATTAAATACGGAATGAAAATATTTATTAAATAAATTCGCCTTAAAACGTGGCTCACTCGCTGAGATGTCATGATGAGAAACAACGTTAGGTATTCTGCTAGATTTGTTGATGACTTTGTAGTACGACCAAAATCGTTTCGGATTATCTTTAAGTGATTGACCCAAATTGGTAATATAAACTTTCTTTTTGTACTTGATAAGTTTCTTTATATCAGCACGCAAGCGGCGAAAACGTGACCACAAGTTAGCACTGTCACGGACTTTAGCCTTGCGCCTAAGATTATTCTTCTTACGCAATAAATGAACGATTTCTCTGTCTAACCAAGGCGGCTGGTGGATGTCGCGAACGCGTACCTTTGCTACATATTGATCAGCAATTGATGTAAAAACTTGTTGCCATTTTTCACAACTTTCGTTGACATCTTCGTTATCCAGCAAAACGTTGTCCCAATCAATGAAGCCTAAAGATTGCCTCATACCATAAAAATTTGCATTATGAAAATTATAAACAGTACGTTTTGTTTTCTTTTGACGCTTGACTTTAGCTTCAATGCAAAAATTAACAACCAAATGATCGGACTCAAAAATATCCGACTCAATTCTCAGTTCTGATACATTATCAGGGAAATTGCATAAAATTAAATCCAGAATAGACCCCACGTTATTTTGTTGACCAGAATATCTAGTTGGTGCATCTACTACTTGGGTTAAAAAGTAGTTGTTTACCAAATCGCAAAAATCATTTGCACTTCCAGAGTCTTGTGTATCAGAAACTGTACCCCAGTTAATATAAGGGAAATTAAAATCACCAAGGATATATAGACGGGAGTTATCATCAGGATTAACCTTGGCCAATAAAGAAGTAAACGGTTCAATAAAGTCATAGTCTGGAGGCCGATAACATACACAAATAGTTAGTTTCTTTGCATCTTTTGGCAATAAGTTACAAACAAGAATCTCGGCATCAGGTTCAATTTCATCTCTTCTGAAACTCAAAATACTAGATTTAGCAGCTAAAAGAACCCCTCCACCGCGACGTCCGTCACTACGATCCCGCCTATAGACTGTATAGTGATTGGCAGGTAGTATTTCGCAATCTTTAATATCAGGCTTAAGCCACGTTTATGTTACAGCAATAAAATCGAGATCATTCCCAAAAACCAGAGCCTGAAACTCAATTAACTTGTTACACAATGATCTTGCATTCATTAAACAGCAACTTAACATATTTTTGTTGCTAGTGTTGTTCATAGTTCTCGACATTGTTCTTTTTCAGATGAAATTTCTCTTTTGATATCCAAGGTTTGCATACAACAAATTTTTGCCAAAAGTTATCTCTGATAATCGTTTCGACATCAGCAACGCGTACATTAACTTTAGCGGAAACTGTGCCTTTACGTCGACTCGGGAAAACTCGTAGTAACGTCGGGGAAATTCCTCTACCAGATAAATAATCCGAAATAGTCTCAGAAGTTACGTTCCCCGTAATTCCACTTAGGAAAAAACGCTTTGTGCGAATCCGCGTACGCTGGACTCCTATAAAACCTTCAGATGTCTCTGTACTCACTTGATCGTCGCTAATAGCAGCCGAGTCTTCGCATTCTCCACCGGATTTAATTGTCGCATTCCGACTTGTTTTATTATTATTTCTGTTCGGTGTCCTAGTTAAAATGAAGTTTGGAATATTGCAACAGCCGGTAGGAACATTGCAAACTCCCTCAAGGGATTTACAAAGAGTTTTTCAAATTTGCAAAGCTAATGAGGAAAATTCCAAATGAGTTACGAAGTCAAAAGAGGAACGCTTCACGTAGTTTACCTGTAACAAAAGATTTTCAAGACGTATGTAACCTTTAATGATCTAAAGGATACATGCTCAAGTATTTTAAAGAGGAAACGTCAAAAACTCAGGTATACATAAGAATTTAAAAAAATGTATTCCCGTAGTTATATTAAATATTCAGCAAGTTTTAGGGGCGCACCATTTGATTTTTGAGGGGGGGGGGGGATGATTTCGAAAAGAAATATCCTGCAATCCAAGGAGAAAGAAAAAAAAATCATGCAGCATACAATCGACAAAAAAAATCCTGCAAAAGAGAGCGCTCAAAAAAATTCCTACATGTAAATCTACTGACGTTCTTCACTTCAGTATATGTGTCCATAGGCTTGCAAGATTTTGCATTTTTGCTTAAAAGAACACGGGGTGAACAGTGTGCAACATCACAGTGATTCTACCGCCTTTGGAGCCTATAACATACGATAGCCAGTGGCGTTCCCTGGCAAAATTTTT